AGTTCGTATAATTCACACACACACACACACACAAGTCACCTGAAATACGTTACGGTTCTAGTTTTCGATTCCAAAAACTTCTACTTGGCGCTGAATTCCACGTGTTCTACCCCAGTCGATCGCCCAAAACCTTGTTCACAACACTTTCACTAGAGTGTTTGAATGTGGACTACCCGTCGCCTATTTCTGTAAACCCGTTGTATTCCTCTACCCAAGGTTATCAACTCAGATTCAAATGTTGTCCTGACTGATTGTCATGCGACCCGTGGGAAACATGAGGGCCGGGATACTGCCAGGCCGTCCAAGCCTAGACGGGGGAAGTCGAGAGGCAGAGGTCGGGTTCGAACCACGGACCTTCCGGCCAGTAAATTCGCGCTCTAACCACTGAGCTATCTCGCCCCCAAGTGGTCATCTCAATCACGAACACCGTTCCGGTAGTCTTGCCGCCTTGTTGGTTGAATCCGTGGGCATTGTTGAGTACAACCCATGGGCCATCGTTGATGACCCGATCACCAATCAATGAAGTATCACACGAGGTGTGTCACACTCAGCATACTCTGTGCGTTCGGAAAGGTTCTTTATCCCAAATTATTCTGAGTAATTTGTTTGTAACTTGATTACTCTGCGGAGAATACTGTGGGCCTCAATTGGATTTCGCGCGCTCTATGTGACACCATTTCATTCCAACTTGATGATTAGGATGACTATCTGTTATCGGTTGATCTGGTCAGCGTCATCAGTAAAACCTGTCCTTCAAGAATGACTTCTTGTGAGAATCAGTCAGTCTCTGTCATATCAATGATCGCTGCCATTCACAACAACACTGTCGTAGATTATCGCTCACTTTCGGTCTCGCTGATGGATCCTTTAGACATTCCCAGTCAGTATCCAGTTTTTCAGGTACCACGCCCATCCGATAGCGCCACCCTGTACGTGGTAATGGAAAGAACGGTACTTCCACGGTTTCATTGACACCCTTCCCAAAACCGACAGAAAAGTCGTATCCGGAGATGAGTTTGGGAAAACAAAAAATGTTTTGGTAATGTCACGTGACATCTCCGTTGAAAACTCTGTCAATCCATCAGACCGGCGGGATGTAACGTTAAAAATGTCGACATACGACTCCAGGTGGTTAGGTTTCACATTTGTATGTTATTCTGGCCGACCGCTCAACTGTTTACGCGCTCAGCCTGGTGTTGATTTTGAATTCCGGGCGTCTTCAGGAAGCATTGTCCAAGTGCATGTACGTTCCTCTGTTGTTTTCGGTTCAATTGTTGAGTTCTGTTTCCGTCTTCCCCTTTGGAAGGGTTACGTATGTCGAATACTTCGAGAACTTGACGTAGTCGATTTTGTCGCAGTTGAAAGCGGTCGTTTGGGGGCAAACCATTGTTGGTATCAGAAACGTTCACGTTTCCGGACGTTTTTGTTATTGATTCGAATGATGTACGTTGGCTGGTGCGCTCAAGAACAGCCCATAATTCCTCTGGAGTACTACCCAGAACGACATTATCGTCAGCACGGTTCAGCTCCTTGAGTCATGCATCTAGGCTGG